CAGCTTTGCAGTAACCGCAAAGGATGAACTCGCTCGAAAAGAGCTCCTAGATTACTCCACATCACGGAGCGAATCTGGAATCAAACTGGAACCAGCATCAAATCTGGTTGCCATGCAAATTGTCACCGTCCCGGAGACAATTCGAACTCTTGCTGGCCCTATCGCCGTGAGGGCAAAGATGGTTGCTCATGAGGTCACGCGAGTGACCAAATCGGTTCCCTTTCTGGTTCGTCCTCATGGGACCAGCTAACCAGGGGCGCCCTATATCAGTTGTTAAGCGCTCTTTCCCCAAGAATCCGCACCTCGACCTGGATTTCGCCTCTTCGACGACTCTGGAGCAGCAAACCTCTTCCGACCTCGCCGACAAATACAACAATGCAACCGATGTCTTGGCTTTCACGCCACCCGCGGTTGTTCCCGCGCTCCAGCTGGCTGGAATTTTGGATCGAATATGCACTCGGAATCAGAGTGAAAAGCTCTCTCACATTATCGAAACTGTAGGGGACCTCACCTATCGGATTCTAGGGACTGCGTAGCCAGACCCAGCAAGTTGGGGCTGGTGACTAAAGAGAAGCTGGCGACCATTCGCCAAGTCGAGCAAGGTCACTATGCGGCATTTGCTCGATTCAAAGCTGCAACCAAAAAGGCCGAGGAGGAGATGATTGCCTCTGCGAAAGACGTCTCCATGGAGGAGGGATCGGGTTTCAGTGTACTGGAATCCTGTGACGAAACCGAGCTGGTTGTAGTGTACTTTTAGAAAGATTAAACTATATGAAGAGAGAAGTATCACAACTACGGGCAATGACTATTTGTACATCCTTCTAGCTCATCCAGTACGTACTCTGTTGGTGAGAATGACATATTGCTCCGCCACTGCCCGTCGTCATCTTTGCCATCTAACTGACTCTCTCACTTGGCAATTCTACTTCGCCGTCTCACATTCCTTCCTAGCTTTAATGTAATGTGGCCAAGTGAAACTTAGTCGCTTGATACAAGATAATATGTAACACACTCCCTAATACGCCCCCAAACTCCGCTTAGGTCTCCGCCTAAGCCAAACCACGGTCAAACCGTAACAAATCCGAAGAAGAAGTTTGAGGGTACAGCAACCCTCGGTGAAGTTTACGACAGCTTCAATTATAGAGCAGAATACCGGCTGAATTCAGGTTAGGTGCCAACTCACCTTTCGCTCTCAGCGGAGATCAGGAAAAGTAACTTGGAAGATGTGACAGGAAAGGGAACAGATGAGAAGCGCAGGATCCGGACCGCATTGAAAAATCTTCTTAATTTGATTTCAGTCTTTGACTTTTAGTTTTGATTTTAGTTTTTGATTAAAGCTTCTGAGTTATAACTGAGTTATAATTTACCTTCTACTTTTTCTTTAGCGGGTCTCGCAGTTGGAATAAGTTGGGCCTGTAAGCAGTGATGCCCGCCGGCTCCACCAGTCTTGTACCCAAAGTGGACTTAGAGCATTAGCTTAGGACCTAAACAATTCAAAAAAAAGATCGATACTATGTATACACGTAGGATGACTCTTTTGATATAAGAGACACCCATACTCTAGATTTCATTCGCACATATCACTACGAAGTATGCTTGCTTACTCAAACAGTCGACCCTCCTCCGTTAGTACCCACCAAAGGGAAATTAAAAACCTTTGGTTATCCAAGCTTGCCTTCGTCATCCATGCATACAAGCGCCGCGAGAAATGGTGTTGTGTTTTGCCGGATTTGAACCGGCGATCTACTGTCTCGAGTAGAATATGTGTCCGAGCTATGCAGACTCTACTTGGCAGACCGGCCAAGACGATATACCACCGCACCATCCAAACATGGCGGTATTTATAGTGTCGCCTGCACTCTCGAGACCGAAGCCTTGGCACGCACAAAGCTCAATTCGTAAAGACCCTTTACCAAAATTCAAAATTCCACGCCTGTCGAGCCTGTATCCATCCTTCGCATCATCTTGTGAACTTATCCTGAATCCTCTCACGTCCATCCCAAAGAACAGTCTCCCAGATTTGTGCACCACGCTCTGCTTCCTCCTGCGCGTATAAATATCGGCGTGGGCGTGTATTTGTTGACCGGCTGATGCCAGAGAAAGTCGACAAGAGGTGTGATCATTGGAGTGAGGATTTACTTGGTCGTACTTGTAGACTTGATGAGGCTTAGGTACAATTCGATCTCTTTGGGAGTGAAAATTTGATGCGGTGGAGTATTTTGAATAATTACCTCGCGGGCCAACTTGTTCGGTATTGCGAAATTTGACTGAACTTCGCTCTGGGAGAATATTTCATCCCCAGGTTCGTAGAAGATGTTCAGTCTTGCCCTACGTGGTTAGCTTCATGATAATGGTGATAGGGGAATGTGCTGAAAGATGAAGACCGTTCAGACCGCCAAAGCGATTGGGAATCCTCATCGAAGCGAGTAACTGGTCACTCAATCCCAGTTCTGCAGAATCTACACTGAGAGCTGGAGGTTCGTGGGGGACACCACTGACGGGTGTTGTGAAAAGGCCCCCTCACTCCTAGGCATCTACCGACGGGAAGTTTCAAAACCTCTCAAAACCCACGGACAATAACACTACGAGAAATGTTATAGAGTCTCGTCGCAATCAATTTGGCGATTTTCTCTTATGGATGGGATAAGTATCCAAACTATCCGCACACTAATTAAAGGATAGTCTTAATTACGCTACCACCGGAATATACAGCCATGCTAGCGTATGTTGTCTCATAAGCGCCGCTGAACTGCTATGCCTAGCACAGCATGACGGGTCAGTTACTGCAAGGTCTCAAATGCGCGATGTGTGTGAGGCAGTGAAAAATCCAATTATAGAATTTTTTTATTTCATTTTATTGTCCTGTCTGAGTCTATGACTATGTAGTACATGCAGGTCCTTTCTGCCTATAGGCCAAGGATACCTATACCAGTAGTATATCCCCTCCTATGCCTCCCATACAGCTCCCCTCAAACAGTACCAACCCTCACAAGTCCTCATTCGATCATACACTTAGAGGAGCCCTTTGCCCTTCATTATCTCCTCTCTCCAGCCAACAAAGCGATGGCCATTTGCGGGTGTATGGCAGCCGGGAAAATTCGCAAAAACCACTGGGTGCGGGACTCTTCTAATACCGACATTAGGAATAAATCCGAAGACATATTGCCCCTTCTGAAGCGTTCGAAGAGGCCGGCCAGCTGGGCGCTGCAGACTTGTGGGTACCTCGAGAAATTCACTCTCTGCCTTTCTAGCCTCCTTCCCGAAGGTCGTGCTGAAATGTCAGAAAAGTCTTGACAGAGCGTGATTGCTGTGTAGTAGCTTAGCCTAGCTTCTTTTGTGCGGTCCAGGGCGCTGGGGAGTGCCGCTGACTCATTGACAAAAGAAGCCCTCCTGGCTAATTTGCCGAGATATTGGTCTTGGCGCACACAAACGTTCCAAAGTTAAAAACTCCTCGAAAATATCAGTCTCAGCATGGTATTCAGAGACCTGTTACCCCTCTCGCTCCACAGCTCAGGCGCCTGTTCTTACTCAAGATGTATAACCCAATTAGAGAATCAGTCCCCCACAAAACAAGACCCCAAATTTTTATATTATGACTTAATTTCCTCCTTGCGGGTATACGTAGCGTCGTAAACATGTAGTAATAGATGGCTGGAAATTAATGGGGCAAGCTCCTGTATGCAATCGAAGCAACTTCTTTATTGGTCTTCTAGGCGAGATGATGCGTGGTTAGAGAGAGGTTGAGGACCTAGATGAGTATGTTAAGAGAGGCATTGTCGAGAAGTCGTCAAATGGAGATGTGTTTAAGGTTGCTTTCGACTTCGATTTGGAAGCGATTCTTCTTGGCTATCCCAGATATGCAGAGCATACTGAGCCATTACACCGGCACCACTGGAAGGTGAAGAAATCGTCTTTGGCGGCCCAATAAAAGCATTGTTGGCACCATTAAAATCAGTTTTAAACCAGTTGAGCTTGTGGAATTTCAATTTCCACTTCATACCATCACTTCTGAGAGGGACTATTCTCATCAACTGTCAGTGGTGTCCCCTACGAGCCTCTAGCTCTCACTGTAGAGTCTGCAGAGCCGAGATTGAGTAGCAAAGTCCTCATTTGGACGAGGATTCCCAATCGCTTTCGCCGTCTGTATAGTCTTCATCTTTCAACACATTCCCCTATCACCATTATCATGAAGCTAACCACGATCAGATCAGATGGTAGGGTCGGAGCCCTCTTCATCACCAACCCTGGTTCATGGAGGAGATGCCATCCGATGAGTTTCCGGGGCGTACCCAGCACCCGATACGGAGATAGCGGATTGGATCAGGTAGACCTCGACTGTTACAAAGAAGGGAGATATAGATGAATATGCGCACCTCATGTGGTCCCGGTTTCTAGGCCTCGCTTGGCTGGGGCTACATGTTTTTTGAGACTTTTTCCCGCGCACGCAGTTTCCATTGCTACCATTTTTAATTTTTTTGGGGTAGAAAGTTCCGTGGAAAAGGTGGCCGAATGCCACGGGTAAATACTGAACTGAATGACAATTTATCAAGGGCAATATATCAATGATCTTTCGAGTAACATGAGAGGTAAGGAGCACTGTGCAAGGTGTGGCCTGGGTCGGAGAGGAGCCCAATATGCTAGATAGTCATAGACTCAATTAGTACAATAAGAGCACATACATACATCATCACTTCTGATATCGAAAAAAGTGTGTTAGCCCTTGATTGTCTCAAAACATTATTGCTGCGTCATTTTCCCGCAGTTGGCAATGCAAACGGCAGGATAAATAACCATCAGGGGGTTGGTTCATGAACATCAACCGAACAGATTATTAACCACGTCTCGGTTCTCAGAACAGCCCCGATATAAATGTTACACTCTGAATAGAAGAGAGTTGCATTGTAACCCCAACAAAAGCATCGGAACATATTGCCTGTTATACAATTCAGGTGCTTGTCCGGCAAAGCTAAGTGTTTTGATGTCAATTTTTTGCTGATCTTATGAAAATGGGGATACCGTAATAATTAATGCTTCACACTGATATAACTACTAGCTAATATTAGCACAGTATCTTTATTTCGCCAGACGAATCTAAACCTACCACTTGTTTAGCGGCAGAAAAAACGTCCATCCTTTCACGTTCATTTGTCAGTAGACATCGTCATCGTCCTTTGTCACGAGGCGATGGAGCTGCATCTAACGCGCTGGGTGAAATGCGAAGACGACGCAGAATAGAGGCCTCATTTCAAGCACCCGAAGAGCTTCGCGAATTGACAACATTTAATGTTGAGAATATGCGCCCGGGTGACTTACCAGCGACCTTGAATTCCAGGGCTATTGTTACATTTGAACGCGAAAGAGAGCGAATGAGACAACGAAGCTCCATCATAAATCATGAAAGGAGCAGCCTTCTAGACTCTGAAATTCAGGTTTCATTGATACCAGCAGCAGTAACCGAATATGGAGATTCAAATGAAAGCGATGAGATATCACCACAAGCATATAGAATCCATCAAGCTAGACTTAATCATAATAGGAGAATGGGGGAAAGAAACTCAGCATCACCTCCGGCCCTTGACGCTGCTGACCCCCAAAATCAGCTTGTATCATCACGGCAAGGTGTAAGCCCAGAACAGTCTCGTTCTAATAGTCATGATCATCAGTTTATATTGGCTTCAACTCAAAGGAGGCAGAATACGAACCTCCAGAGTGACAATTCTCACTCATCTTTAACAGTGGGTTATTCTCAAATTATCTGTGGATCTTTTTTCTGTTGAGAGCACCCAATTATAGAAATGCTCAATTTACTCACTGAAACTTTTGACAGCACCCTGAATCCCACGAATCACAAGAAAGATTACGTGCCTTAACACAACTATCTATTGAGCTTGATAGATCCCGTCGAAGCACTTTTCATGCACATTTAGCTGGTCTGGGTGAGACCGATAGCATTCGAAATCCTTCAATCGACCCATGGCAGAGGTTCATGGCAAGAAATTTACCAAACCGTCAGTCATCAAGAGAAGCGTCAACAGCTATTGTGCCGGAAGATCAAAGCAACTCGGGGCAAGTCTCTGCCAACATCACTGCAGCTGGCACTGATAGAATAGAGGAATTCGAATTACGGCTCGAGTGTGCTTCCGATCCGGGAACAGACACAGAGAGTGAAGTCGAAGAGGTGCAGATCTTTGGCATGAGAACGGCGGAGCCGCTTTTGGCCACAACTGATCTATATAATGGCAGAAATAATGAATCTCAACATCAGGAAAACGTGGATTCTGATGACTTGGACGGCTGGCACCGTGTTATTTCTAGACTAACTGAGCGAGATGATATACCTGACGAATGGTGGGCATCAGTGGGTCTTAGCCGGACTTTACGCCCCAGATCTGAATCATGATATCATCTCCATCTTAATATTCACTAAACGGTGATTCCATCAATAATTCAGGTAGACGATAACTTTTGGACAATTTATATGAAGCTCCAACTTTTATGTACTTATTATATTAAATTATAATGTTGCAACCACGATTTTCCGTCTATCCCACATAAATCCTGTAATTGTGCACCATTCTCAGGTACCTGGCTTACTCGTTTGCACGATGCAATAGATACCAGTTGGTATCTAGAGTTTTTATCACTACCAAACTCATAAAGTATTGGCAACGTAAGCTTATTGCACGGCCATTTGAAGTACAGGGATCGTGAAACTACATCCAGACTTCTAAATTGAGCGACAATTGTGAGGCTACTCTACGAACCAACCTTGTCAATTTAGCCTTGTCTGACTCCATAGCCTTCTCCATTGAACTTGCACAAACGAATCTACACTTCAAGGTAAGAAATACTTCCCATCGTGGAAAATAGCGAGAATCACATTAAAATTACAGATCATGAATAAAACTTAATTGAGCCGATCTTCGCTTGTGTAGACCGTTTTATGCATCGTTTACCCTAGAAATCATTTGTTCACGATTCCAATTCAAGAAGCAAGGGCCTTCTCTTCAGAGAACTCAATGCTAAGTGTAGCATTATCCAGATACCAGAGCACTCATTATCAAACCGAAATCTCATGACATTAACCTCTCGGCCATGGTCCACAACACCCCAGTCTTGTCGGACCGAACTCCGCACGACAGATTAAAGGCCAACAATGGAGACCCTTGGATAGATAATGGATCTAGAATATCGAGAAATGACAGTGAAAATTCAAAAGAAAAGCTAGCTCATGCCCCAGACTTAAAGGATTATGTATGTTTCCCGACTAAAAGATAAAGCGGCGGCTTACATGTAGCCCAGCGACTAGGTGAATGTTTAGGTAGAGGAGCTTTCGGTTCGGTCTACAAAGCTTTCAATTGGGGTACGGGTGAAGCAGTGGCTGTCAAAAAAATAAAATTGGGTGACTTGCCCAAAAGCGAATTGCGTATGATAGAGGTAATGAGATCCTTGAGCTCGCAATGTCTATGTACTAAAAGAAATAGGCAGAAATCGATCTCCTTAAGAACTTAAATGTACAAGATATTCAGCAGAACATAAATTTCTAACAGCCTTGCTGACAGTTGTCAGCATGACAATATTGTCAAATATCTTGGCTTCGTTAAATCATCAGATTGTCTGAATATTATACTAGAGTAGGACAAAAATCTCACCCGATCGCTACAAAGAGTACGCTAAATTGACTTGTCAGGTACTGTGAGAACGGCTCTCTACATTCGATATGTAAAAGTTATGGCAAGTTTCCTGAAAATCTTGTTGGGGTATACATGGGTCAGATTTTACTTGGACTCCAGTACCTCCACGATCAAGGTGTCATTCATCGTGATATTAAAGGTGCAAATATTCTCACGACAAAGGACGGTAAAGTTAAGCTAGCAGATTTCGGGGTCTCAACTAGTACGTTTGCTGGAGCAGATAAAGAAGCACAGGTAGTGGGTACACCGTACTGGATGGCACCAGAAATTATCCAGCTATCAGGTGCAACACCTGCCTCTGATATCTGGAGTCTCGGATGTACCGTTATCGAGTTGTTAGAGGGAAAACCACCCTATTATAAACTTGCACCTATGCCAGCATTATTTGCTATTGTTAATGATGATCATCCACCCCTTCCTGAAGGTGTTTCTCCTGTAAGTCAAAATTTTTTCTGACTGTAGCCCGTCCACTAACTCACTTTAGGCAGCTCGTGACTTTCTCATGCAATGCTTTCAAAAAGATCCCAATTTAAGAGTCTCTGCCAGGAAGCTTTTGAAACACGCATGGATCGTGGGGTCTAAAAGAATTGATGCCCCAGTAGCTAAGCCACCTGCAAACTTTAGTGAGGCGGTTGAAGAAGTCAAGCAATGGAACGAAGCACTGAGATCCCCGACCAGTGCTGGACCGCTGAGTGCTTCTAAAAGGACAAAGAATACTATCCCTATGTTTCTGAGAAGGGAGCATGCATTTAAGAACATGAATAACGAGCAACAAATTTTGGGGATCAATACGCATAACAAAGGATTTCTGCGACTGGCACAACAGAAAAATCACGCCGAAGCATTTCGTTCACCTGACAGCAAAAGTTTGTACATCATTTCTGTGGCGTCCTAACCTACTGATAATTACTAGCTGATGACAATTGGGACGCTGATTTTACTTCAGCTATTTCCCCTAGCGCGTTAACTCTACCTCAGTTCAAACCACATGATAACTTTGGTGGGTTACTTTCGACAGATCGTCTCAAATCTTTCGCTTCTTTTGAATTGGCAAATGATAAAAGCGATAACTGGGATCACAACTTTGAAGGGGAACTACTAACAATTAAATATCCCGGCCCAGCACACGACTCCGAACTACACGAACTTGAGACGATTCGGCCATATCACGCGGGACTTAACACCTACAAAGAACCTGTAAATATCTTTCGACAGAGCCACTATATCAAATCCCAGGATTCTCAAGAGTTACTACATGATGACTACTCTACGACTTCCCAAAAAGAGAATCAGGTAATACTGTCAAAGCGTTCGCCAGTCTCATACCAAGATCCACTAGCTGATCAATTAACTCAACTCCGCGATGAGGATGAAACCATTTTTTATGATGAGGCCAAAATCAATAAGGTAACTCTTAATGCTATCATACCATTTGGCAACTAACAAGATCAAGATAAAGAACGAGACATCATCTACAAAATTTTCCCATCCATCTGATTTTATGAGATTACCCCGCTCAGCAAATTTCACTGCTAGCAATGACAGCAACATTAATTTTAGACTAAACAACAGCAAAAGCGAGGAGCGAGACTTCCACCGTAAGCTATACTCGGTTGAAATTCAAAAATTCGCCGAAGATGAAGGCGATGAAGACTTCTCGGACGTCTTTGCCCATGACTTGTCCATTGTTGCCAAAGATGATAGCGACAGGGATTCTGAAAATGGAGTTAGAATGCTAACGTTACATTCAAAGTTCTCTAGTAATTCCTGGCTTGGCGACGAAGACGATGAAGATGACCCCTTTGCTACACTGGAACAGTCATTTGACGAAATGGATCTACAAGCTAATATTGCAAGAGATAAACATGCTAGACTTTGTACGCTAGTAGAGAGCTTAGTTGGGTCATTGAAAGTTACTGAAGAGCATGATCTCATCTCTGACGTTTCTGCACAGCTTGTAGGTGGTATATTTTTTCCACATTATGAAAAGAATGACCTAATCAATTCAGCTCAATGTTCTTTCCGAGTCTGAAGACGCAAAATCCCTCATAATAAGCGCACACGGAATGCTTCCAATTCTCGAGATTCTTGAACCGTGTACCGTCAAGAGTCGCCAAAGTATGATTCTGAGGCTACTTCAGGTAGTAAATACTGTGAGTAACTACATTAACTATTGAAAGTATGGTGGTAACAAAAGTTAGATAATCTTTGACAATGTTGAGATTCAAGAAAATTTGTGCTTTGTCGGAGGCATACCGATTATAACAAAATTTGCTGCAAGACAATACTCAAATGAGATCCGTCTTGAAGCTGCTGCATTTGTTAGGCAGATGTATTCAACCTCAACGCTTACTCTACAGATGTTTGTAAGTGCTGGAGGTCTTAATGTTCTGGTCGAATTTCTAGATGAGGACTTCGACGAGTCACGGGACTTATTGCTCATTGGGGTCAATGGCATATGGAGTGTCTTTGAGCTTCAGGTACTGCTTAAACTTCGTTCTCAACCACTATTTGCTAACCAGAAAAACAAGGGTCCGACTCCTAAAAATGATTTTTGCCGTATATTTTCTCGGAGTAAAATTCTCTCTCCTTTGGCGTTGGTTTTAGACAGAGTACTCCGTGAGGATGATGATCTTTCAGAGCTTGTACAAGGGCGAATTGTCAACATATTTTACCTATTCTCACAAGCCGAAAATTATGTCAAGGAAGTTGTAGCAGATCGTGTTGTTATCAAAAGTGTGTGATATGAAGCTAGAATGACAATTCTATATACTGACTCATTTTAATAGGGGTGTTGAAAGATTTGGGACGAATGACACCAATCCATCAAATTACAATGTTAAAGTTCATTAAAAATCTGTCCATGTTGTCAACTACGCTTGACAGCTTACATGCGGCCAATGCTATAGAGATACTAATTGATTTGCTCAGCTCTAGCATGAAGGTAAAACCAGCTCATTTTCGGGAAATCTCAAATCAGGTTCTCAATACCATGTACAACCTCTGTCGGCTAAGTAAGGTACGTCAAGAAGATGCTGCAATAAATGGAATAATTCCATTGCTTCAGCGTATTATGAAGACCGACAGACCACCTAAAGAATTTGCTCTCCCAATTTTATGCGACCTTGCTCATTCCGGAAAAGTATGCCGAAAATACTTATGGCAGAACAAAGGCCTCCAATTCTATGTTTCATTACTCGAGGATCAATACTGGCAGGTTACAGCATTGGATGCTATCTTTTTCTGGTAAATTTTAGCGCTCACACGAATACAGTCTATTAATATTATTGCAGGCTTCAAGAGGAGACCGCTAAGGTAGAAAAGTATTTGCTCGAAGGAAACTTCATTCAAGCCATTGTTGATTGTTTCAAAGCCTCAAAATCATGTGCATTTGATAACAACCTCTTGGAACCTCTTCAAAAACTTCTACGTTTGAGCTCGCCAATTTCTGTGTCCCTATCTAGACCAGAATTATTCTCCGGTATTCAGCAAAAGCTTAATCACAAAAAAGCAGTAGTGCGACTAAATTTGCTACGTATTGTTCGGAGCATTAGCGACCCTAGTGACGACAAATCATTTAGCATTAAAGATCATGACTTGTTTGCAGCCATACAACGTCTGGCTGAGAATGACGCTGCCGTATTAGTTCGTAACATGGCAAGTGAGCTAGTCAAAGCAAACCTAGCCAAAGGCGTTGATGCTGGGGGAACTTGTAGACCTCAGTCTCGCCAGATCAGACGAACATTTACGCCACCATCTCTACAAGTCTCACAAGTACCTAATGCACCGTCTCATGTCGGCCAGATGTCTTCCCCCTCCAGTTTCATGGGAGATAGTATCACGCCAAGACGAATGAAAATCCGGGATTGTAATGAAACTACTCTGCATAACGCGAGGAAAATAGACGAGGGTCAAATCCAGGCTTCTCGGAGAGCGGGCATAGAAAATTTGGCCATCGGTGCTTCCAATAAAAGCCGTCTTCCTCGAACATCTATGGGCCTACGTGCTTCTCGCTTCACCAAGGCAACACAAGTTTCAAATGAAGTTGATCCACCATCTTGTCGCAAGAATGAGATTTTACCCCGAGATTATCATAAATCAACAGCTGCTCCACTCCCTAGCTCAAATGAGTCAAAAAATCTAAAGCAAAGGTCCAAGGTTTCGACAGAAGATATGGAATGGACGTAGACAGTTTAATAATGGCATGATGAACGAGGAGTGCAAAACATTGAATGACCAGAAATTAAAGACAGTGTTTCGTTGGGAATGTTTTAAATTAGATGGAGTCAAAACTTATCCGGTGCATAGTTTGAGGGGAATATGATTTATGATCACATGAGCCGAAATGAATTGTAAAACGATCGAGTATTGAATAGATTAGAAAACCGTAGTTGATTTCAAAAATTTACTATCGAGTTAGTACCATATTTAAAGTGTCTGATGGTCTCAATTTACATGAGGAACAGAGTTCTACACAAATAAGGTCAAGAAATTCTAGAGTCGATAGTGAGGTAGTGTAATCTGGTTGAAGTGACATCATATCTTATATGATCACACTGCGATTGTCTTAGTAACATCAGCACTAGTCAATGCTACAACAGTAGGGACTAATTCAGAACTTTTGTAGACCTATTTCAAAAGTATGAAAAGTGATGACACTTAGGTCTCTTCTGCCAGTCATTTATTGCAAAAGTTTCAAGGGAAAGGGATGGGAGAGAGACTTGTGGGAGATACGACAAGATTCCGAGTATTTATTTAGCCTAGACGGATAAGTTAGGCGGCGGACCGGCCGACGACCAATGGGTATAAAAGTGACGACTACGCTTGATCGCAAGCCACCACTCAAGCGCCTCTAGTTTAAGCTCTAGATGGAGAAAGCTAAGCCACGAGCGGGCGAGGCTTAACAAATTAGAGGGCCAGAATATCCCACCTCGCACACTCAGGTCCTCCAGTTGTTCTTCTAAGACAGTCCGCGAGCAATAGCGTGCTAGAATTAAAAATGTCCGTACAGGCCCTTGCCGGGTTTGCAGATTTTCGTCGAGGCTGCGGGTTAAGTCGTTGGTCTTGAGTATCAAGAGAAGAATTCGTGGAAGCTGCCCGAGCATTTCCACTAGCTGCTGTAGCATTCCTTCACTCAGTGCTGCATTAATATGTTGCTTCTCTTCCTCCGAACGAGCTATGGAAATATCTTTTTGTACAACACGAAATTCTCGACCAGTGATAGCAGAAGCAAATAGAATAAATTGGTCGTCAGAAATTCCAGCAACCTCCTTAGAAAATTTTCGCATTCTTGGTTCGTCGGCGTCAATAACAGCCAGCCAGAGTTTCGCGTATGAGCGTCGGAGTTTTGTAGGTATATCCCTGTAAAGACCGTGATCATACAAGACTACATCGAAATTGCAGCCTCGTCGATGATTATTCTTACGTATGGCTATATTTCCGCCATGAGGATCGCAGTGAAGTGGAGTATTCTTGCCAAATATCATCTCATTAAATATTCGTGCTAGAGCCGCCGAAACTTCATCTCTATCGATGCCATTAGAGTCCAAGTATTCCAAATCATCTGGACGGTGACCTGAGACATTCTCCATGACGAGTATCCGTCGAGTCGCCCAAATGACATTGGGAATAACTAATGGTAGTGCTGGAAGCTTTGCAAAATGCTCTTTGGTTCTCATTGCGTTTTGCCCTTCAAGCCTAAAGTCTAATTCTTGAGGTAAAGAGTATTCTAACTCTTGTGATAGCCACTCTAGATCATAATCTGGGAAGAATTTTTTCAATGTAGAGAATGTGAATCGAATTAGAGTTAGATCTAAGTTAGCCCACTCCGAAAGTGCTGGATGCTGAAGCTTTACAGCAACTCGTTGCCCGTTATCCCGTATTTCAGCAAGATGTACTTGTGCCAAGGAAGCTGCCCCTATGGGCTCCGAAGAGAATTGAGAAAAATATTCGGAAATTTCCTCCCCTGTATCTGCCTTGAACATGTCTTCGATAGAGTCCAAAGAGGAAACTGGACATTTGTCTTGTAAGGGTATGAAAGTAGCTGTCCATGGAAGTGGTAAGAGGTAGCTCATAGCACTCTAGGATATTGTCAGCAGGGACCGTAAATTATGCTCAGAGAGAACTTCACTAGATGCTGGCCAAGCTTTATAAAGATGCTCCCATTTTTTTCCAGGGTCTCCAAGGTTCTATTGGCGCATCGCTGGTGGCAAGCTGTCAAAGCTCTAATTTTTTCTTCTTCGTCCCCTGGCTGCTCATTTTGGTTTAATGTTTGGCGGTAACTGGACTACACGTCAACTTTCATCGTGTGATTATGCGATGGATAACAGCTCACTCATTTATGCAGAGAGCGAGAGTTCCCAAGACCCTGCCCGTTCGAACTGTAGCCTTATATGTGTGCTCCAGCTCATTAGAAAAGATCGTGCTCGCTACGCCCACGCTTCCCATAGTCAGAATCCATGCAATTGTACTTTTCCGAGGATTAACATTCATTCTTTGACGCGCTTTTCCATTGTTAATATGGCCATGGCTCTGGGTTTTTAGCAGTCTCCTGGTCGTTGATAAACATTTTCGGCAGGTCCACGCGCTGGTACGCAAGCTTCGGGCAAAGTTGAGCCAATTGGACTTCAACATCTTGCCAGAACATATGAGCTCAGAGGCATGAGAAGTTGAAGTAACAAGTGTGCGAAAAAAGATGTACTAGATGTTGCCAAAACGTTGAATTGACTTCAGCGTTCTCTATTTCGTAGGGATGATGCATGCATGGGTACGGGCATGTAGACATCCCTGCTTGGCCGATGTCTTATCCCTACACCCAGGCCCCTCTCCTTGACTCGTAAAGATGGCCTGAATTCAAGATGTTATCCGAACAATCATGCCGCCCAAGTTTAACATCAATGCGCATGTAAGTCTTCAATAAGGATAATTTTCTGCCGCTATACTAATAAGTGGAGACTATAAGTGCACCTCTCGCTGCTTTTTGTATGGCTACAATTCTCTTTGCCTACACAAGGACAAGTATTGACACGGCGAAGCGGGATGCTCAGCGACATCGCATTCGCGACCAGAAACTACAAAAAGAGCAATATGGAAATATATATGATGAAGATAAAACGGAATACAAGGCTGGGGCACGAACTGTAGCCCAACCTCAAGGGACGCAGGAGGCTGCTGTAAAAATATCATGCGGTGTAGAAGAGCGAAAAATATGAAGTCGTTTCTCAGACTTTTTAAATAACAAAAGAGAAATTTGGAGTTTAATGATACGTAAACTTGTAGCACTTACTCCTCTTTACCATCTTTTATTGATGGTCTGACAATCTGGTTAATGATAATAATTCAGCTTTGTTATCCGGGTTTTCCGTGATCTCAAGTTCATGCAGATAATTCTTCTCTGAATAAGTATAAGAATAACTATGAAGGCATAGTGAATAAAAATATTCCACCCTATAATTTCAACCGTCAAATTAAGTGCCAGTCCAAGCTGAACGCCTAACCCAAGAGCATAGAACACCTCAAAAACAAAATATTTTCTTTTATGTCAATAGTGCAAAGCTTGCCGCCAATTTACTTGAAATCCATTCGTTGTTCAAACAATAAGTTATGGTGCAAGTTTTCAGCCTTGTTGTTTTCGAAGTCCTTCAAATTTAGCTTCACGAAAATGAGACATAGCGTATTCAAAGGTAACTAAAGTAGTAGTAGCCGCAGGAACAGCACGCATCATGCTGGTACCCATACCAGCATAAAATGCTCTCCAACCTTCTTCTTTTAATATCGTCCTAAAAGTGGTAATAATTCCCCTATAACGTGGAAGTTCAGGGTATAACGGTGCGAGATTCTTCTGAGTGTCTTTGCATCCTTTTAGAGCTAGATGTTCTAAATGTGTTAAAGCATTTGATCTCTGTTGTGTTTGTAACCGTGTCCGGAGAATTTCATGAGGATATGTGACAGAGCTCGCCAAGATTTTACTCAAAAAACTTGCCGAAACCACACCCGAATAGTGCTTGTAGTGGTCGCCTTCCGCTGATTCGCCCATGCCCAGCCCAGTAAACTTAGTTTTAAAATATTCATAGGCTGGAAATTGTATAGCAACGTGAGTTAATCCAAGAAGTGCAGGCGTAAGACCCGAATAGAAGGAAAGTAATCCTTCAGTCTTATACATTTTCTTTGCAGCATCAAAGGTTGATTTGTAATACCATGGTGGTCTAGCTTCATTTGAGGTGACGCTGCCGCTTACTTGGGACATGAGACGTGTTTTTATCACCCATATCGGGTTTGTTGCCATCGACGAAGATGCACCAGCAACCACCGAAGACCAGAAATTGACATAGAACTGACTTTCTGCAGATTTTATCAGCATTAATCTGTTTTTCTAGGAACAGATTAGTACCGACCGATATGCGCTCCAATAAACTGTTTGGATCTTCCATAAACAGTGAACCAAACTGCCCAAGTTGGAAGGTATCCTAAAATGATTGGGCCTAATCCACGATACATTCCTTTAAATCCCTCTTGTTGCCATATAACTCTTGCTGTTCCAACCATCCCACGGTAGACAATATTTGAAGAGTTGATATTCTCATTTTGATTCCGAAAGCCACCTTGCGCCTGTAATTTTGTTTTTATAACATCCAATGGACAAGTCACAAGTCCTGACATGAAACCTCCGAGACTTCCAGCGATTGCGTTAAAAGAATCATCTCCTCTCTTCATAGCCCAATTCTCAAAAGGAGTTACGACTACTCTCCGTCCTTGAAAGGTAGATCTTCCCTGTGTCATTTTGGCTGGAAGAGAAGCGCGAGTAACGGGAAATATTTTTTTCCCAAGTGATGCGGGTACTTATTTAATCTAGTGTTTGACTGTTAATATCTTCATACTTTGAACAGCTTTTTTACGATATTGAACTGAACTCACATTGCCCACAGCACACGATGAGGCTAAGGCAAGTTACCTCTCGTGTAAAAAATCGTAACAGACTATTTTATTATTCGATCTTTCCAGAAACAAAACTTTCTTCTATTGTGAAACTCTAGTTGCGAATAGCCAAGATTACAATCTTGTAGCTATCGATGTCGAGATATGCTTATCGGTTGATACAGCGTGTCCCGGTATGCGGGGAATATCCCACGCAGCCCCCAGTGACACCTAATGATTATCACAGGCCATTGACAGGTTTTATTGAAGAAGATGTTTGATTCAATGCAAGCTTAATAAGTCGATAGTAGAACTGGATGGCTAGAGCAGCTCGAAAGAATAGGGTTTAGACGATGACTGTTTACGGGGAGTTGGAATGAAGCCTGCTGCCGTATGGACGTCATAGCGCAAAAGTTGGTCGCAATTGTATCCGGTCAGACGTGAAAATTTACAACGCGCATCACTGATTACTGATTTATCATTGAGTTGTACGGGAGAAGTTTGATATCTCGCAATTTAAGGTGAATAAACCTAAGATACCTCCTCTTGTTTCGAAGTTAAGTCCCCATATTTAATATTGCGAGCTAAATCGTAATGTTACGTCCAGCTCAGCATGAGATATATTGTTCAAAGCCGATCCAATAGGCTGCCTTTAATGTAAGACGCTGCCCTAACTGGTTTATCTACTTGACCACGACGCAACAAATTGCGCCCATAATAGTACGCCTAGAATTTACCACTGCATGAGTAGAACCTCTGCCTTCACTACGACATTGAGGTTGTAAAAGATAATTTGAACTTATAAGACTTTTTTCTAAAATTCTAGCTGTAACTAAGTGCGATTTCCTATGCGCCTAGCCACCGACTTCCAAAAATTGAACGTCTAGGCTACTTAGAAAATTTTCAGCTTCATGCTTCGTGCGAACTAAACTCATGGACCACGAACTTCGGTTCCGCAACTTGCCATCATAAATTCGGCGTTATGAAGCTGGGATCAGATTTTGATACCAACGTACAAATTTATCATCGATATTGTTGACAATGAACGTCTTTAAGCTGAATTAAAGCCATCTAAAGCTGAGTTATCTGTAGATGGATAAGAAAATCCGATTACTAGACTATGGTAGTGAGCATAGAAAATATTAATAATATTAGATAGAAGTTAGAGAAACTGGGGCTATCAAGAAGGCTACGTCGTAGGATGAAGATTGAACAATTATCCGCGGTGCTCTCTTAGAACCTAGGAGTTAAATATTCCTTCAGAACTGAGTTTAATCAAGCATCTTGTTAAGAATATGAGCACATAAGGGTTGAATCTCTACCTTGGAAAGATGCTATATGAGTTCGAAGAACAGCAACGTAGATATCAAAAAGACTTGTGTTGATTGAAGAAAGATTGTAATTAGATGACTTATGCCTCCTCCCACTGATAGGAGTTACATCTCAAAATGTACATGTCCTGAATATCCATCTCACAGTTCATACACTATCCAGTGTATTCCATTCTATTCCACTCCACTCCATTCCATTACAATTCTATGATACCCCAGTTATGGGTTGCCCTCAAGTTTATGTCCTTGAATTTACATGAAATACTGGCATGCATAAATCTGCACTGATCTGGAATCTCTTGGTAGATTATAACACATCTTAGTACAGAAGAAATTGGTCCGCAAACCAATTACACAAGACTCCAACAGTGTAAATTTTTATACCCTACTAAATCTATTCTAACTAAAGCCCCATTGGAGAGCAAGAGATGAGTTAGCAAGCACCTTTGATCCAGCCGGTATCCTGCTATTGGTTAGTAGATGCCTGTTAGAGGCATCGACGAGTTTGCTGTTCCCTTAGGCTTCTTCTTCAGATTCCAGCGCTCCGAAACCTGATCCCTCGGCCATCGAGACATCCTTCGCTGAGGCGATGATCGCCTCTTCAGCCCTTTTGGCTATGGCCCGAGCTTGTACCACTTTCACGAACTTCCTTTGCTCGATGTGGCAAATCCACAAGAGCTGCTCTTTGGTCTCGATCCTCCACAGTTGCGACACTTCGTGAGGGCCTTGCACTCAGCTTCCGAGTGCATATTAGATCCGCAGTTCCAGCAGGCTGGAGCGCGGGAGCAGCTACTGGTAGCGTGGAAGCCCAAACAGCGTTTGCACTGTTCAATTTTACGACGAGGTTTGTGGACGATGGCCACTCTAGATTCGTCGAGAATGCGGAGGCCCGCACGGGGAGCAGAGTCCCGGTGAATGAGGGCGTGCTAGCTGTGGTATATGGGCCCGGGTCAGCATGTCCTATGGGGCCTCACTTGGACTGGTCTCTTGCCAGTCACTCATTCAATTTCGCTCTCGACCCATATGTCGTTGAGCTCCTCACCCCCCAACTTCATTTTGGCTTCACGGGCACGTTGGAAATCCTCAGGGCGACAAGGTCCGATGGTGGTTCGATTTTGACGTTATGTTTCGCGAATCCAGACGAGGTATCTAGAAGACCTGTCGATTTTCTTGGGAATCTGGTAGAAAGCCAAGTCCGGACTTGACTCGTTGTATCGAGTCGATATGATTGCTGTCGCGGATGAGTTCCTCAACTGCAGCTTTGACACCAAAGGGAGATAGTTTCCGCCATGGGTGGTCGCTTCCAAGGCGAAGGAACAGTCGTTTGTCGACTTTTGCCTTGGAAACTTATTTATGTTGGGCTTTTGCCGCAGACCGTGGCACAGCCTTTACAGTTAGGACTGCTTTTTGACGCAGTCCATTTTTAGTCATCGTGGCCCATCTGCTTTTTAAAGGCAGCACTGGGACGGCGGGTAATGTTTGACTCCTAGTGTCGGGAGCCCTTGGGATTGGGTTCGCTGGGCGAGGAGAGAGAACGGGCCCAAGGCTATATATGGCGCTATGGCGGCGGGAGGGAGTGCAAGATTTGCTGCTGTTTCGGCGGCGCGTTGTTGTTCGGATTCAACGAATGATCGAAGTTCGGGCGTGTTACAGGTTTTACCCGCCGTTAGTTGACTGGGCTGACCTACAGGCCCAGCCTTGTATGTAAGTGGGATGTGGCAAATGGGTCTGTCTCTTGCAACAGGTTAGACACTTAGAAAGTGCTTATGTAAGGTAGTCATCAGGACACACTTTACATTGGCTCTGTCCCATTGAAGTATTCTCTTCATAGAAAAATATAGATTATTTTGTAGCAGCCTTTGCGTGTAGCGTCCCTGATTCTAGTCCTTGTACAGTGGGGCAGACTGCCGTCGTGGTAGCTTTAAGCAGCGACTCTTTCGTTGAAGCTGCATTTGGCGTGGCTTTCTCTGACGGTTTTGATACGGTCGGAGGAGGTTTGGACGAGTCTCCAATCCTGTGGGGGACGGAAGATGGTCGAGGAAATTCCATATCAATTTTAATTGACCCGATCATGTCAGAATCGGGCTCAGCGACGAGGTGGAGGGCTTTTTCCTTTCCTTTAGTTGGGGCCTTGCTCATCTCCACACCTTTTGGAGACTGGGCAAGGCCAAGTACTTGTGCGAGAGCCCTTGGGCGGACTCTCGTGTTATCCAACATGGCGTTGGGACGCTTTTTCCGAATAGGCGGCACGATAAAATGCTCGAAGCTCGAGCTCAATTTTCCGAATGTATGCGACAAGCGCGAGAGAGGGAGAAGAGGGATATGGTATTATTCGAAAATTGCCAGGAATGATATCACCGATCATGTGTAATAGCTGAATGGCTGAATATACAATAAGTGATTCAAAAAACACCTACCACCCACCTCTACTACCAATCGCAATCTTGAGTTTTGACAGGAATAAATATTACTTGGTATGGCAAAGCTCATACATTAAAAGTCTAATAGGTCTCTTCAAGTTATGAGAGTACTCGTGAGTAATTTGAACTATCGTTCAGAAGTAATGCGCATTCGTTGTTATTTGTGTTCTAAGTTGATGCTATGGAATTGCTATCTAGCCAACCTTCGGATAATGCAGTATTCGAATATCAGAATCCATAAATCAAGAAAACTAGCCAATGCCATGCAACAACCACCGACTCCAAATAACACCAGCCTACATGAAGGGACAAAAGGGATTACAAACTGAGGAGGCCTTGATGGGCGACTGGATGAGGCCTACGATGAAGGAAACGACTCTTGGATGAGATGAGGATATGCCGAGATGAGCCAGAGCTGGGACTGAATGGAAGGGAAAAGTTACACATAGCGAAGGTGTCAAGGGCTCGGTGAGGATCCTGAATTCCAAGTTCGAGCGTAACGCCAAGTCTCACGGCAAGCGAGCCGCTGAGCTCCGAGTCTAGGCGAGACGCCGAGTTTGAGGTTCCATCAAGAATGCACCCCTCGCATTCTTTGGTCACAATTCGGGCGGCTAAGCACCTCACTCCTCTCCCACTGTATTCTGATAGTTTACTTGTCATGTATCATTGATCGTTACATTATCTGGAGTAAAGAGGAATTCATGTATTTAAGGAGGAGTTATAACGTTAATAGAAACACAAGTTTACACCTAGTCTCAAGCTCTACACACATATAGATTGTCGTAGTCGGAGCCACGAGACATCCGTGAATTTCACAGTCAACATTTATCATTTTATTCTTACTAACGTGCACAAGAAACCTCATCGGGCGCGTGATGGCCGAGGCTGTGGAGAAATTTGCGTTTCGGCGCGCCGAAAGTGGTTTCTCTGGACGATTATACTTGATAGGATTCAACACATAGGTAAGCCTGAGGTGGTCTGGTCATTTACTTAGGACGAGGCACTTGTACTTTACGGTAGTTAACCTGATCCAGCATGGCCCCACTCGTGCTCAAGCTCCAGTAGGATTGCAACGGAAGTCATTTTACCTAGCACGTTAATGAACAAACCAAAACAAACCAAAAACCTCCAGCTAAATGAATCATCTATTCGGAAGGCAAGACTGAACACCTGTACGCGGTGTCTCCTACGAACCTGGGAGCGAAATATTCTCCCAGAGCCGAGTTCAGTCAAACTTCGCGATACCGAACAAGTTGGCCCACAAGGCAATGATCCAAAATACTCCACCATATCAATCTTTCACTCCCAACGAAATCGATTCCTACCTAAGCCTCATCAAGTTTACAAGTACGACCTAGTACATCCTCATTCCAATGACCACGCCTCTTTTCGACTTTCTCTGGCCTTAGCTGGTCGCCAAATACACGCCCACGCCGATATTTATACCCGACGGAGGAAGCAAAGCGTGGCGCAAAAATCTGGGAGATAGTTATTTGAGATGGACTTGAGAGGAATCAGGATAAGTCGACATGATGATACGAAGGAAGGATAAAATCTCGACGGGCTTGAAATTCCGAATTTTGGCAAGGAGTTTTTCGAATTGGGCTTTGTGCGCGCCAAGACTTCGCTTGCGAGAGTGCAGTTGACACTATAAAAACAAGCAAACGATGGAAGGTGTTGTGGTCCGCCTCCTGGTGGTGTTCTCTGGTATAGTTTGAGTAGCCTGGGCACCTACTCCACTTGGGAAGGAGACACCTCAGATCACATATCGCGCGGAGAAAAGTTGAAAGATGATGGAGGCATGTCTGGATAACCCAGGGTTTTTGAGATGTTCCCCTGGGTGGGTATTCACGGATGAGGGTTGACTCGGGGTGAAGAAAAAGCCGCGATAACTTCGCAGTGGTACTTGCAAATGAAATCCGAGGCATGAGTGCTCTTCTTGTAAATTGAGTCATCTATCATACACTTCTCTGATATTGTGTCATAGCTAGATAGCTGCATACGCAATTAAAATCTGATGCAAAAAAAAACCTGGGATGAAATAATCTCCCAGATCCAAGTTCAGTCAAATTTCGCAATATCAAAGAAGTTGGCTCACGAGGCAAAAATTCAGATTACTCCAACATGGGAATCTTTCGCTCCCAAAGAGTCCGTTTCTCAACTAAGCTTCATCAAGTCTACAAGTACGACCTAGTGCATCTTCATTCCAATGACCATACCTCTTTCCGACCTTCTCTGGCTTCAGTTGATCGCCAAATACACGCCCACGCCGATTTTTATAGCCGACGGATGAAGAAAAGCGTGGCGCATAAATCTAGGAGACAATTCTATGGGATAGGCGTGAGAGAAATCAGAACAAATTTACAAGATGATGCAGAGGGTGGATGTAACCACGATGGAAGTAAAATTGTGAATTTGGGCTAGGAGTTTTACGAATTGATCTTTGTGCGCGCCAAGCCTTCAATCGCGAGAGTGTAGCTAACACTTTTAAAGCAAGTCAACGGTGAAAGGTGCCGTGGTCCGCCTCCTGGTGGTGTTCTCCGGTATAGTTTGAGTAGCCTGGGCACCTTCTCCACTTGGGAAGGAGATATCTCAGATTACATTTCGCGCGGAGAAAAGTTGATGGATGACGGAGGCATGTCTGAATAACTAAGGGTTTTTGAGACGTTCCCCTGGGTGGGTATTCACGGATAAGGGTTGACTCGGGGTGAAGAAAAAGCCGCGATAACTTTGCTGTGGTACTTGCAAATGAAATCCGAGGCATGAGTGCTCCTCTGGTAAATTGAATCATCTATTGTACACTTCTCTGATATTGTATCATAGCTAGATAGCTGCATACGCAATTATAATCTGATGCCAAAAACATGAATTGCAGATTAGTAATCGAATAAGGATGAAAATAGGAGTGAGACCTTTCAGACCTAAATTTCACATATATCCTTATTAAAATACTGTTTATCAGCGGCTTAGAAGATTTTGGTACCATTTTTTGCTTATCAAAACTTTGTGTCTAGAAAGTCTCTTGTATATCGAGGGGGAGCAAGATAAAATTTATCTTCCGAAATTAGGTTCTTAAATCTTTTGTGGGAGTTCAATTTGTTGTTTATACACTGGTGCCCAGTAAGATTTAGAATTATCTATTAATTACAAGAGCAATGGTTTCCGAAGTACCAAGGCTGGCATTAAAATACAGCTACCAGTGATAGCATTGTTGTTCATACACTATTATAAAATCCTAAGGGGTTTCTAGTACATACATGAAGCGTTGCATTGCTATCAGTTGTTACATTTACCAGAAAAACCCCTATTTGTTAATGCTTTTCCCCCGGTTAAATTATATGTAGTGATTGGTGGTGTTAGCGCATGTTTATTTTGAAATCAGTAAAGGCTTAGAAATCTTTTTTGAAAAATCTCAATTATGAATCCTCTGCGACCTTTGGGCTAATTGGTCCCTCAGCACACTTTCCAGCTTATCTCTAGGAAAATTTGGAATGTTACTACGAGCTAACGTATCAAGCATTATTCTTATCTGAACGACTGAAGCCGTGCTGGGGCAAGTCCTTGAAATGAAACCGTGTGTTAAGCCGCATTTATAGCATGCGCTAGAAAAATATGGCGCCTGAGGCCATGCGCTTCTCATTTGGTTATTTCGGTAAATTGGATGAGTCGAATTCTGTAGTTGCTGTGAAACGTTTTCGTTTCTAGGGATTGGTTGCATTAATCCATCCCAGGAATAAATTATTCCATTACTAGTTTGGTCTGGCCTGTAGTAGACGTCTTGCGTTTGAGGGTAGCTTTGATATGATCCAAAGTATTTGGCTGGATCTGAGTCTATTCTTTGTTCTGAAACATTAGTAGATCTTTGAATATCACCAAGATATGACCTCGTGAAAGAATTCACTGTCTTCGAACCGTCTGTAGTTGAGTATCTGTTGGAGTATCCTGTCACGCAAGTTATTAGATCGTTTTTTGATTCTCAAGCAACGTGGCATAAACATTTGACAGTGATAAATATAGTCCCAAAAAAGTCTGCTAATTTGAAGGTCCATCATCAATAATTGATGTTAACAGAGTAACTAAATGTCTGTCCTTGATACCGATCTTTCAGATTATTTGTTTGAATAATCTTTGTATCGTACAATTAGGCTCTAGCAAGCCGGAGACTAATGATGGTTTAATGAATAAATTTATTCGCGGAAAAAGAGTTATTAAAATTGATTAAGTTCCATACTTCCTCGGAGCACCACTAGGGTTCCGATGATAAGTTTAACAATTTACTTAAATTTTGGCTTGATAATTTGGGAGAAATATTAGTGTTAATGCTGGGTCTCTTTGAAGCTCAGCTTATTGTTTTGAGGAAGTTTAGTCAACGGTTATCAAAATTGAAGTTTCGATAATATCGTGAGAATCGATACAAAGAGCTTAATTTTTTGGAATAAGATAGATGCGATAAACAATCTATGAAATACAGTAAAATATTAGCATATGATAATTTTCTAGACTTACCTTGAATTGATAATTCGGAGCTCTCAGTAATTTGGAGGGGAGGCTTAGATATATGTGGCACTGCAGTTACGCCTTTTTGGTGTCGACTTGACACGGATCCTTCATCGTAAGAATCGGAAGCTTCGCTAAACTCAAAATCACTAGAATGATCATCCTGTGGTCTTTTATCGCCATCTTTGAATGAGTCTTGATTTGCCGAGTCTTCTGCTTCCAGCTCATGATGCTTCATCTATAAGAATTAGAATGATTCAACTTAAGACACATAGACTGACCTGTCGTGCTCTCTTTCCACGTCCGAATGTTTCCATATTTTTTGCTGCTTCTATGGCAGCGTCTGCTTCACGTTGCTCTAAAATCTTATCCCATGCTGAAAAGTTGGGAGTAGCTGACTGGTCATCTTCATTCTGATACTCTGCAAGAGATCCTTTGTCGTTAGCCCAGACACGAGCAAAAGCAAATTGTGATTCGGCAGGTTTATCCTCCTCAGAATTAGTCTCCTCACGGTGAATATCGTCTAATAACTTGTCAACAGAATTTGAGTCGTAATGAATGTCATTTTGATCATCATCATTAAACAGAGCCTCTGCACCATACTGAAGTATAGACTCTAGATCAATTGCGTCATCGTCACCAGTTCCCATGCTTTCAATCAAAGCTTGATCAAGAGCCATCTTTCCCCGACCAATCTGGATAATCTTTTCCTCGACGCTATTTTTAGTCATCAACTGGAGAACCGTCACTTTTTTCTTCTGTCCAATTCGATGTGCTCTTGAGAAGGCTTGAATATCTTGGTGAGGCTAGAAACATATTAATTTATCGTCAGAATATATTAGAGAGAATTTTTACGTTGAAATCTGGATCCTAATGGCAGGTTATCAATAGTTTGATTAAGAATATATGAGGAACTCACCATTATCAGTACTGTATCAGCGGTTGCTAGATTAATACCTACGCCTCCAGCTCGTGTTGAGAGGAGAAAGGCGAAATAGGGTGAGTCACGTTGATTGAACGCATCAATACGCTTCTGTTTCTCTAGTGAACTAATACTACCATCTAGTCGCTGGAAACTAAGGTTAAGATTTGTCAAAAAATCCTCAATCAAGTCTAAGTTGTTAAGGAATTGACTAAATATTAATATCCTATGACCGCGTTCTTGAAGTTTGGGTAACATGATTTCAAGAAGCTGTAACTTGGAAGAAGCGTCAATGAGGTTTCTTTGTATAGCTTCTTCGCTAGCCGAGCGTTCTTCAATAGCTGTACTGTACAAAAACGGATGGCACAGGCATTTTCGGAGTTGCATGAGGATGTTATTCAAGTTACCTCGTTCTGTTGGAGCAAGATTTGCTTTAGGCTGACCAAATACCCTTCTGATAAGATCAGGGTTCTTGGCCAAGATTGATTTATAAAGTTTCTTTTGAACTATGCTCATAGATACAGGTACAATTACCTGGACCATTGGTGGTAAGAACTTCAATACCCCGAGTTTTGTGCGCCTAGGAATTTCAATTCATGTTCATAATTAGGAGAAACAACACAAACCTCAGAAAGAATGGACGAATGAGCTCGTGGATTTCAGGCAAGTTTTCCTTCGTCAATATTTGATACTGATCTTCGAGTTTTGCCGCATTAATTTTTGGATCCAGAAATTGCAACAAGTTGAATAACTCTCGCTTATTATTTTGGAGTGGCGTGCCTATATGTTGTTAGCAACTTTTTGTCTTGATTGAAAACTACTTACCTGTCAAAAGAATTCTGAATGGAATATGTAATGACTTCAACGCAACGTAAAGAAGGTTCCTGTCATTTTTGAGTCGTTGTCCTTCGTCTACGATTAATCCGCTCCACTTGACATGGCTGAACCATGATTTGCTATTACCATCTATAGGTGTTTCGTATGATGTGACGACTACGTGAGCTCTTAAGTCGGTACAGCCATCTGGATACATCTCGTACTTCATAGAAACCTCACGAGCACTCTTAGGACCGTAATAAGACACAACCCGTAAAGAAGGTGCCCACTTCTTTATTTCTCTTCGCCAGTTAGCACAAGTGGAGTTTGGCGTAATGACAAGGAATGGCCAGCAGATTGGGTTATTCTTTGCTAAAGTAGCGAAGAGGGCGATAATTTGAATTGTTTTTCCTAGTCCCATTTCATCAGCCAATACGACATTGTTTTTTTGATGAAATTTATATAATAGCCAATTTAAACCTTCCATTTGATACGGCATCATTTTACCTCCAGAGAGTTGAGATGGTTGCTTTTTCAACTCAACTCTTTTGGCAAAGTCGAGTTTACGGAAGCTCTCAATGCGTTTTTCCATACTTGCGGCCGAGAAACGAGGAAAATACTTTCCTGCGATGTATTCATGATATGCGGCTACAAAATCACTCCAGCGGCCGGAGTCTTCAGGCTTAGGAGGTGATACCCAAGCGATATCGTCGTAACCTAAGCCTTTAAACTTGACATATATCTCATCTACCATGTTGATAGCGATCTGGTCAGATTTTTCGGATTTGGGATTGAAGCCGTGAGTATAGCGGACATCAAGTACAATATCAATCCGTAGATAATCTTCTGGAACTGCTTCCTCAAAGGACCATTTTAGGAGCATGTTATCATCATCGTTCCGACGCAAAAAAGCTTTCCGCATACTCTTTTGTGTTACACCCCATACCCAACTACCTGGCATCCAGGTGCATTCAAAATACGATTTTTCTTCCCATTTAATCAGATATTCGATGCTATCAGCGCACAAGTCTTCGATGGCTTGATTACTGAATGACTCGCGCTCCAGGGGTCTCCAGCAGACTAACCTATGAACCTTTGCTGAGTTATTTTGACAATCTTTACAGCGCCATTTGGATTTATATTCTTTTAGTTTAATCTCTCGGAGGATATCGATATCATCTGATTTTTCGTCATCTTTACTTAGGGGTGGTAAATGTTCAAAATGAGTCGCTCGTTTGCAAGTAACGCATCGAAACAAGACGTTTTTTGGGTTATTTATAAGATGACTAGATACCTGTGTAATAGGATCGTCACCATCGTTTTCTTCGCGAATTTTTTCCTCTTGTTTTGCAGTTTTTTTGGTTGAAAAAGCCGCGCAAGATGAGCCGGTCTGTCGACAAACTTGGCATTTATCTAGTCGAGGAATTGTTGCATCCTTTTCAGCTGCAGCCCCGATGCATCGATGACACTGTAGGACAAAATTTTCGTGGCCAACTTTTGTAACCATATGCCTTCGAGAATGACGGTGACCAAGACAGACTTTGTGAATGGAAGTAGAGCATCCTTGGCAATATATCAGGGAGCTTTTGCTTGGATGATTATCAATCCCGCCGCAAACATCACACGTGTTGTTGTGGTACTTCCGAAATTTATTATTTAGTGATAGGAGTGGGTAGACTTCACGGATGCTCATCACCTTTGGCGTTGCACTCAACTCCTCAGTGGTAGATAGTTCATCTCTGCTGCTAGCATCTTCATCATCTTCGCTATCATCGTCACTGTCGCTGGCATCGTCGTCACCGTCATCGTCATTATTACCATCATTTTTTTTGTCAATAGTTATCAGTGACGTCTTTTTGATAATTTGACGCCCTGACCTTCGAGTTTCACGCACTGGAGAAGAGAAATAATCATCGTCTTCCTTTGTTTTCCAATTAGCTGACTGAGTTAATTTCGAACCACTGAATTTTTTTGTAGATCGAGTTGAACGTGTAGAAATTTTTGATCTGACGGAAGAGAACTTTGTGTCATGCTTTCGAGCTTTACTTGCTAATTCGTCTGATTCATTATCAGATTCGTGATCCAGGTTTGAATAGGACTTGTATAATTCTTTGTTTAAATTGGAGTTAGGCCGTGTAGTATGACTACGGCTATGGAGTTTTAAAAAATAGGGGCTAAGAGTTTTATTGCGGGATTTAGATGTTTTTGGCCTATCTTGAGATGAATCTCTAGTATTTGATGAATTCTGTCGAGCTGATGATGCGGTTAATTGTTGGTGGTCAAGAGATTTAGATCCCACCCTGCTACTCCGTCGACAGGGAGTGATTTGGTCAGTTAGTGTTGGGGTCCATCCATCATTAAGTCGACGCTTCTTAGTTATGACGACATTTAAATCATCTGAACTTGTCTCTGACGCTAAATCAGGATCTCGGCCACCGATTAAATCGCTGTGCGACGCACTCGATCTTGTTTGTCTTCTATTAAGTACTGGTTCGGTTGCTTTTATTTCGGTTAGCCGTTTGCTTTTCGAACCATTGACAATTTCTTTGGTTGTGAATACTTCTAGCGCTTCCAGTCCATTTGGGAGACTCAGAATTTTCGATAGTGAGGCCTAAGAAAATAGTTAATCAATGAGATTTTTATGTAAGCTAATTGAAAAGATGTAGCGGTATATTCAGTTCTAAATTTTTTTGGAAGTAAAATAATGTTATCTAGCAAGGAAATATCTGCTGATGAAGTTTCTTAGTTCGTTGAAACATTTTGGTGATTGGGAGCTTAGAAAGCTAAAGCAAATTTGAAGTGGATGATCGCGGACATATGATGTACTGAATTACAACGGCATCTTGATGTATAATTAATTTAATAACCCGTACTTTGATAGAATGATTTAGAGATATATCTCAATGGAAGTAACTTGTGACCTGCTGATCTCTTGATGTGGAAGGAGATATGGATGGGAGAAACCCTCAAGTATATTTTCCTGGTTGACAAATTATTCATAACCTGGTGAATAACTTTCTAAAGACAGTGGTAGGAGGGTTTCTCTTATCGATTCACTCACAGCTGTAGCAAACTAGGGCAAATAAAAATTCATGCAACTAGCCTCCAGCTCACTGAAGTTTGCGTATTAAGTGATTGATATATTAAGAAATGAGATCTTACGTACCTCTTCTTCGAGGCCATCATCGTACTCAATCTTATATTTTTGTTTAATGTTTGAATCAGACAAGCTTTCTAAGATTGCCTTGACAGTTGTACTTGGCTGAAATGGTTGGTACTTCCATTTATTCTTTGGTTTTGGTACTATCACAGCGATGGCATTGTTCTTTGCGATACGACCTGATTTGCGCCGATTGGTGGACTTTTGTCTTGTCATGGTCCAATTTTAGAGAGAAACTTCCATTGATCACTCGGGGTTATCAGCATATCGACAATATATCAGTATGTTGGTTAGTCGGGTAGACTACTTGTCTTCGGGTTCTTTGAGTGTTTACTTACTCGCGTTGCCCGTCAACAGCAATCTCTCTGATTTGGCACGGTTTAACTATTTATCCGAGACAAATTGCTCCTCGAGCACAAGTTAGTCATGGTCGCCATCATATCCCTTATCCAGTACACGTTGTACCTCTTTGCTCACGCGCTCACGCGTATGTTTGGCTTGATGGCGCAGTGGTACATACTTCAGGCCGTTCTCTTAAGTATTCTGCGTGACTTCGACATCCACCCCCTTTGAGACAGAGGAAACCTAATACGAATTCAGAAAAAGTCAAACACCACATTCTCTCGCGTGGCCACTGTATTTTAAAAGTGACAAAAGTACATTTGAACACTGTCGGAATACTCCAAAGGAATAGCTTATTCACTAGCTTGTCACAACAATACTAATTACTCTTTGATGATTCTTATTCTTCTATACCTAAGAAGAGACTATGTACTTATTAATTGATTTTTCCATTACGCTGAGGATCCAAGATTGACAGAGCTCTAGATTAGCACGAGGCTCTCACAAATTTTAATGCTTATGTAATGTTGTTCACGTTGGAGTCCGGGCGCAAGATTAGGAATACTGTACTTAAATTGACGATACCCTGTATTAATAGAAAACCAAGTTACATCTAGTCTTAAGCTCTACTATACATATTGGTAGATTGGAGCCACGAGACACCCGTAACCTACGCCATCTTAAAGCTAAGCTAATCTCACTTTTCACATACACTAATCCATCAGGAACCTCAACGCCATTCCCGATTAGGTAGCCCCACCAAGTTGTTCTTTTTTTTTTTAAAAAAATCATTTAATGTGTATTCAGCTATAAAGCTATGACACATGACCGGTGCTATATATACATGTGGGATGACTCTTTTGACGTAAGAGACACTCTTACTCTGTATTTCATTTGCAAATACCACTATGAGGTATGCTTGCTTACACAAACAGTCGACCCTCCTCCGTAAGTACCCACCAAAGGGAATTTAAAAACCTTTGATTATCCAAGCTTGCCTTCGTCATCCATGCATACCAGCGCCGCGAGAAATGTGGTTGTGATTTGCTGGATTTGAACCAGCGATCAACTGTCTCAAGTGGGATATGTGTCCAAGCTATCCAGACTCGACTCGGCAGACCGGCCAAGATGATGTACCACCGCACCATCCAACCCTATTGTCGGAGAAGCTAGTCTTATCCGTGCCATGCTCTTTGAGTGGAAGGCTTGTGTCCGTCACGAATAAAATATCCATTCATTGAATTGAATTTAAGGTCCCTACTGAGCCTGTTACTGTGAAGCACTATTAGAACTAAATGAAAAGCTCTAGATTTTAATATGAAGAATGTTGGTTGGTATTTTCAATGCTTGCCAATATTTATTGAGGGTCAAACCCTGCATATTCATTCATTCTATGACTATGGAGGACTTCTAGAATCCACTTGCAAGAGGCTAGTTAAATTTAGTATATTTTATCATAATTACTGGCTAGAAAGCCATAGACTCAAGTAGAACAATAAAAACATCACATCATCACGATTACTTTAGATTTTATTCTTCTTGACAATGAGGAAAGTTGCACGAGATAGACCTTGCAGATTTGACGGAAATTACCCCCGACTGTTTAGAGTAAAGATGATGATGAAGCACAGGTAGTCTCAGTATCATTTAGTAAAATTGAATAGCAGAAGAATAGAGTATAAACTAACATCCACTAGATTGTATAATAATTGGGGAGTCACAAAACTAAACGCTAGTTCTCAATGATTCTGATTTGGCGCGCTTGGGGCCCACCTATGTATTTTAGGCAGATATATATCCCATGTTAAAATCCTCTTTTTGACTCTTCAATTATTCATACTCAGATTTCAATCAAAGTTAATCCTAATGGAATGTAACGCAGTTTTTTATATACACCACAGGGAATAGCTTGAAATTCCCATGGGTGTCTGTCTACATATTTGATTCATAACGTTAAGAGGGGTGGGATTGTGCAGTGGTACACAATTCGGGACGTTCGCCCAAGTAGATACTGGGTAGCTTGAACACCTACCCCATTTGAGACAGGAGAAAGCTAGTTCAAATCCAGTGAGATCCATACACCACTCTCTCTCGCGGTGATATTGTACTTGTGGGATGATGAAAGCACACTCGGGTAGCCACAGGGTTTTCACGCTTTTCCCTGTGGTGGGTATGCACGGAAGAGGTTATACGCCGTAAGGGTTAATCTCTAGTGGTATCTGCAAATGAAATATGAGTGTGAGCGTTCTAAACGTCAAATTGAGTCATCCTACTTAAAGTACATATCTTCCGATTAAAACCTGCATGGGCCTCAAGGCGCCAAATCAGTATAATGAACTATATATATATATATATAAACGACGATAACTCAGTTTGACATTTGGACCAATCATGTAGTGGGTGCATTCGCTGATACCACTCGAGACCTCGGTGCTAGGTTCTTTCACCCTTCCCTCAACCGTTAATATCCACCAAAGGGAAAACATGAAAAAACTTTAGATACCCTAACATGCCTTTGCCATCTTGTATATAGCCGCCGCGCTATACATGGCCTCACAGTCCTCCCTTTCTCGAGTGAGGTAGGTGTCCAGGCTACCCAGAGTTTGATTCAGTGAGATAACACAGGAGGCGAACCAAAATACCTTCCATCGTCGCTGTTTTTAGATTGTCGGTTGTGTTGAGGTTATGAGTCACATGAGAACATTGTTACTTGTCACTTATTATACCTGATAGGAGTGTGTGGAGGATGGAGGGCAAGACTGAATACCTGTACGCGGTGTCCTCTACGAACCTGGGAGTGAAATTTTCTCCCAGATCCAAGTTCAGTCAAATTTCGCAATATCAAAGAAGTTGGCTCACGAGGCAAAAATTCAGATTACTCCAACATGGGAATCTTTCGCTCCCAAAGAGTCCGTTTCTCAACTAAGCTTCATCAAGTCTACAAGTACGACCTAGTGCATCTTCATTCCAATGACCATACCTCTTTCCGACCTTCTCTGGCTTCAGTTGATCGCCAAATACACGCCCACGCCGATTTTTATAGCCGACGGATGAAGAAAAGCGTGGCGCATAAATCTAGGAGACAATTCTATGGGATAGGCGTGAGAGAAATCAGAACAAATTTACAAGATGATGCAGAGGGTGGATGTAACCACGATGGAAGTAAAATTGTGAATTTGGGCTAGGAGTTTTACGAATTGATCTTTGTGCGCGCCAAGCCTTCAATCGCGAGAGTGTAGCTAACACTTTTAAAGCAAGTCAACGGTGAAAGGTGCCGTGGTCCGCCTCCTGGTGGTGTTCTCCGGTATAGTTTGAGTAGCCTGGGCACCTTCTCCACTTGGGAAGGAGATATCTCAGATTACATTTCGCGCGGAGAAAAGTTGATGGATGACGGAGGCATGTCTGAATAACTAAGGGTTTTTGAGACGTTCCCCTGGGTGGGTATTCACGGATAAGGGTTGACTCGGGGTGAAGAAAAAGCCGCGATAACTTTGCTGTGGTACTTGCAAATGAAATCCGAGGCATGAGTGCTCCTCTGGTAAATTGAATCATCTATTGTACACTTCTCTGATATTGTATCATAGCTAGATAGCTGCATACGCAATTATAATCTGATGCAAAAATAAAAGAAAATCTCTCGAAAAGTCTGCTTCAGAATCTAAAGTTCGCAAGCAGCTAACTGGCAATCAATGTATTGAAATAAGAACATAAAGAAGACTTGGCTTGACATTACAACATATATCCGACTAACTTATCATCACAAGAAGGCAAGTGCAACTTACGTGTGCTCGAGAGACAGAGAATCCTAAGCCTCGCAAATGATGCTCATCTATAGTAAGCGCGGAACAAGTTGATGAGCTTGAGGCTTTCGTCCGGGAGTCTCCTGAAAATCGACAGATGTGCTATTTGAAACTACCCATGGGGCCCTTCAGCCACTGGGGATGCAGTGAACGTCTAATTTCTATGCACTCAAAAAAAGAGGTTCCAGCAGATGCATTGCTCGGAATAAGCCTCTGTTAAGCGCGGTGAACAAGCAGAAAAGATTGGAGTTCACCCAATTACATTACATTGGAGCGATGAACAACGGAGTCGCATATTATGGATTGATGAAACCTGCGTATCGGGTGATTGTCATATGAAACCTCATGTCACAAGAAAAGTACGTTTAAACTCTATCTAAATCTTCCTTGTACCAACAGCAGAGTTTAGCCTGATGATGAGTTTGATGAGATTTGTACTGTGGCTCGCCATACTCATGGGAACAGCTGGATGTTTTGGGGATCATTTTACGGATCACAAGAAGGCCTATTCCTAGTCTGGGAGAAGGATTGGGGATCATTGGGGTCCTCATCCTTTTGTGAAAGGATTTTGCCACTTTTGAATCAATTTCACTCGGAAAATCCAGAAATTCTGTACATGCACGTCAACGTACCATGTCATAATGCGTATTCAACAATTGGGGCGCTGCATGAAGTTGAAATAACGCCTATTAGATGGCCACCTTACTCTCCGGACCTGAACCAGATCGAGTCATTGTGGAATATCTTAAAAAACTACATTCAGGTAAATAGTCCTGGGATAAATGGAGTCAGGCTTGTCCGCTCTGCCACGTTGAAGACATTGCTACAGGATGCATGGGACTCTATACCTTTTGAGGAGCTATTGTCACTAGTTGGCAGCATGCACGAAAGATGTGTAGCAGAGATAAAGGCAAATGGAGGGTACACAAAGTATTAGGATGGAGAAGACACACAAAACATGTAGTACGCTTTCATTTTAGTTGCGAGTCATACCGAGGGCTTCGATGTAGACTTTGTAATACTGAGCAATAATTTTTGAAATAGATGTGCATTTCTAGAGAATATCAATTGACT